AAATTTTTTCTTGAATACTGGTTTACTTACAAAGCTTGTATTCATTGTTTTTCATACCGGATCCTTCCCTTACCCACACCTCCCTCCACCCATTAAATTGTGCAACCCTATGATTACCCACACCACCACCTCAAATGTTCTTTTTGACTATGAATACAACTCCATTCTAACTCATGTTTTCATTTCATTATGTATATATTTGTTGTGTACCATAGAGTCAGAACTGACCCATAGCTGACCCTGACACTCCAGTGGGTTTTCAGAGGCAGTTAAATTGCAAGGGAGGAGACTACCTATCCTTCTCCTACGGAGCAGCTGGTGGCCTCAAACAACAAGTCTTAGGGATTACAGCTCAGCTTCTTGCCACTAGACCACCAGACAGACACACACACACACACACACACACACACACACACACATCCTAAAGAAATAAGAGTCATGACATTAATAGACATAGGCATACCCCTGATCACTGCAGCATTATTCACATTAGCAAAAAGATGGAAACCACCTAAATGCCCATCAATGGATAAACAAATTGGCAAATACACATACAATAATGTTGTTGTTAGGTGCCAGTGAATTGAGTGTGACTCATAGCGACCCTATTAACAAAAGCTCTGAACCCCGTTCTATCTTGTGCCATCCTTACACTTCCTGATACACAAGAGCCCACTGCAGCAGGCACAATGTCAATTCACTTGGTCAAAGGTCTTCTTCTCCTTGGCTGACCTTCCATCCTTCCCAGCATCATCTCCAAGGAATAGCCCCTAATAGCTCAGTGATAAAGACTTTCCCCTTCAAAACATCTCACAACAAAGATGAATTTTGAGGACATTTTGCTGACTAAAATAATCAGAAAAGGACAAATATTGTATGAGGTAATTATAAAAAAGCAGGAAAAGGTTATTTACACACAGGTGAGAAAAAGGGGAGTAAAGGAGGCAATGGGCAGCCACTAAAAACAAAAACTCAAACCCATTGCTTTTGGGTCAATTCTAATTTATGGTGACTATGTATATTTGGGTTGAGTATGTCCCTTGGAACATATGTAATATAGTTAATTATGATCTAAGGGAGCGCTGGTGACCTAGCAGTTAGGGATGTGCACTGCCAATCCAAAGACTGGCTGTTAACCTCTACCTGCTCCTCTGAAAGAAAAAAGATGAGCAATCTTTTCCTGTGCAATTTATAGCCTCTGAAAACCTACTGGAGGGTCAGCTATGAGTTAGTTTCCAACTTCATGGCAACGGGTTGTTTGTGATATAAAGTGGAAGTTTTATAGTGATCCCCCATGATTTAAGAAGCCAAACAGTTGTAAAAGATTAATATTGAATGTAACATCCTTAATCCCATGCGAGCCCTGATCTAAGAGTTTTCCTGGGGTGTGGCTGCTAAAACTTTATCTCACAAGAGATGAAGGAGGAGAAAAGAGAATAGAGTTGAGGTACCTCAGTATCACCTAGAAGGACAAAGATTGTGCACTGTGGATGCAGGTCCCTGCCCAGGTAAGTTCCTGATGTAGGAGAAGACCAGACAAAGAGATATCCAAATAATGTGTGGTCTGCAGATGCTGAAGAAAACAAGACCTTGCCTACAGGATTGACAGCATTTTCCTTTAGAGCTGACACACTGATTTTACACTTCTAGAGTCCTACAGGGCAAAAGATAAATTTGTTTGTTAAAGACACCCACTTGTAGTATCTGTTACAACAACACAATATAAGGATGGAAGGGGAGCTCTGGTGTCTTAGTGTTAGGAGTTGTGCTGCCAACCCAGAGGTACATGGTTCAAATCCACCAGTTGATCTGTGGGTGAAAGATGGACAATCAACTCCCATGAGATTAACCACTTTTGAAAAGTGACTGAAAGGTCAGCTATTCCAACTGGATGGTACAAAACAACAGCCAAGGATGGAGACAAGATTGATGTAACTTACTTCTATATACTCACCTTAGTAAAAGGAGCCAATCCTTGGAAAAAGACATTACACTGGGAAAAGCAGAGGGTTGGAGAAAGAGAGGAAGACGCTTGTAAGATGGATTGCCATAATGACTACAAAGTGTGGCAGAGATTGTGAGGATGGTGCAGGGCACAATTTAGATCATGATGTTGCTATGATTGGAAGTTGACTCAATAGCACTTCACAACAGTTGTTGTTGTTGTTATGTGCCGTCGAGTCCCTTGCGACTCATAGCGACCCTATGTACAACAGCCCTAAACTCCGCTCTGTCCTGTACCAATCATACTGTCTCTGACACTCCCATCCCGGTTATCCCAGTCACTGAATCAATCCACCTCATAGAGGGCCTTCCCTTCCTGCACTGTCTCTTCACCCTCCCAAGCATGATGTCCTTCTCCAAGGACCGGTCTCTCCTCACAACATGTCCAAAGTATGTTAGACGGAGCCTCAGAATCCTTGCCTCCAAGGAGCCACCCGGTTTAACCCTTTCCAGAATGAATCTGTTTGTTTTCCTAGCAGTCCATGGTATTCTCAATACTCTTCTCCAGCACCACAGCTCAAAGGCATCAATTCTCCTTCTATCCTCCTTGGTCATTGTCCAACTCTCTGATGCATAACAAGTGATTGCGAAGACCATGGCCTGTATCAGATGCACCTTAGTCTCCAGAGAGACACCACTGCTCACAACAGTTACAGATAACTATTCCATAAGGTTTTCTTGGCTGGAATTTTCATGAAAGCAGGTAACCAGGCCTTTCTTTCATGGTAGTGCTGAAGTGGTTTTGAACTACCCACCTTGAGGTCAATAAAATACTCAAACTCACTGCATCAGCAAGGACTCACAGCTGACCCTCCAAGGGGTGTTTTCAAAGGTGAGAAATATGTAGGAGACCCCTCATTTTTCTTCTCCAGAACAGCTGGTGGATTCAAACTACTTGCCTTTCTTTGGGCAATGCAACTCCTAACCCACTAGGCCACAGAGCTCATAGTCAAGTGGAAATCATTTGTACCTTAGGTAGCCTCTAGAAGCAGGAAAAAAAAATGGATTTCCCCCTACTCCCAAATATAAAGGAACAAAGCTCTGCTGACCCATGCTGGAATTCTAACTTACGGAGTTGTAAGCCCAGAAATGTATGTTGATTTGTCACCTAAACAAAAAAACCCCAAACACAACAAACTGAGCTGCAGGCAAAACTTTGTATTTATACTCCTGCTCCTTTTGAAAGCAGGATCTACTCAAACACATGAACTAAACTGTAAAACCCAAGAGCTCGACATGACTAAGGAAGATAGAAAAAGGATTAATGCCGTTAGTTGGGGTGCTAGAAAAGAGTGGAGAACATACCGTGGACTGCCAGAACAAACAGGACTGTTCTGGAGAGGATGAAGCCAAGCTGATCCCTGGAGGCAAAGATTTTGAAGTTCCATCTCACATACTTTGGGCACATGGCCAGGCGGGACAAATCCTTGGAGAATGACATCATGCTTGGAAGAATGGAGGGACAGCACAGGATAGGAAGACTCACAATGTGATAGACTGACTCAGTGGTTAGAGAAATAGGATTACGTCTGTTGGAGATGATGAGACTGGCTCAGGATAGGGCAGGGTTCAGAGCTAAGGTACATAGGGTAACTATGAGTCGCAGGCAACTTAAAGGCATATGATAACAATGTCTAATTACTAGGCATCTGGTACCTTTAACACTTTCAACAATCAATTGTTAAAGTATTTATATGTTGTTTTAACTAAAGAAATCTCTAGCTTTCACAAGGTCCTGACTCCTTGTCTCATTGTTTCCTTATTAAAAAAAAAAATCAGTTACCCTTAAAATGGGAGTCGTCCCTAATTTTTTTTAAGTACACAAAATATGTTCATTTCTTTCCATAGTTACTGCCACCCATGTCTCTCAGACCACTGCATTGGCTCCACTTCCTATCTTGCCTCTGTCCATTTCCACAGAGCATCCAGACTAACCTTTTTCTTTTTATTTTACTTAATATCAAATCTAGTTCTACTTCACCTTATAAGTCTATAAGCTTGTTGCTGTTACCGTCTGCCATCAAGTCGGAACCAACTCATGGCTGACCCTCTAGCGGGTTTTAAAAGGCAGTAAATCACACAGATTATCCATCCTTTTCCCAGGATGAAGCTAGTGGGTTCAAACCATGTGCCTTTTAGATTGCAGCACATCTTACCACTTGGCCATCAGCTCATCTAACTTAACCTTGCCCCAGTCTCCCCCTTATTTCCATGCTTAAGGTTGCCTATACTTCCTTCAACATCATAAAGGCTAGTTTTCTCCTGCTGATTTCTGTGTGCCTGAGTGTACTTTCTAAAAAGAACTGCAGTAAAATCTTCCACCTCAGAATTTCTATGACTTTGTCATTCCCCTTATTACCATGTGGAGGTGTCCATGTTCCTTTCCTTTGACTTTGGATAGATTTATGATTATAGTAAAAATGATGCCACACTACTTCTGAGGTAGAAGTCATAAAAAGCAATACTGCTTCTGCCGGGGAAGGAGGGACAATCTCCTCCTGTACCAGTCAGATCTGATCTGACAGTACATGCACACAAAAGAGTGAAAAAAAAAAAAGCAATACTGCTTCTGCCTGGCTTTCTTGGGTCAGTGTTTCTTAGACTAAGGACATTTTTGTGTAAAACAGAATTGAATGCATGCTCTCTGATGGTAAGGAAAATCTCTAATGTCAATGTATCCAACAGGATGGACATCCTCAGAATGGTAACAGAGGAAGGAGCTAAAAAAAAAAATGTGCCAAGTGCTAAGATCACTTAAGAAAGAGTATCCTAGAGGTCAGTAGGAAATAGATACAACAATAGATTATAGACAATTTTAAGGGGAAAGAAGTTACAGAAAGATGCTAAGACTTTTTTTTAATAGACAAATAATATACATTAAAATTTTTAATTTCCTCATTTAAACCATCAATAGTCGATGATGATTATTTTTTAAAGTTACATTATTCTCTTAATTTTTTCACAGAGAATATTCCACTTATTATACAATTCATTGTCTTCTGGACATGTTCTAAGTAATAAATCTGTTAGCATGGTAATTTCATTGGGGCAAAACTTACTGTCAATAAAACCTGAATTTAATTTGTCACATACTTCCAGTGGCAACCAGTGATCAGGTGCCTCAATATTACAGACTTGAATTCTTCCATTCTTTATATCTACATATACATTAATTTCAAAGTGTGACTGTCCATCTAATACATGAAAGGTAGTGTTTATACTGAATTTTGGGGTTTTGCCATAAATCCACTCCCAAGTTTGTAGTTCTTTGGCTTTGTTGTTTATTCCAGGAAACAGTGTCTCATCTGCTGGGTTTATCAGGTTAATGTGATTATCAATCCCATGACAAGCAGCATATTCTGTGGCAATAGCATTCATTAGCACTTCACAGGTCAGAGTGGGATCTTTTTCCAAAAGGTTTTTCACTAAGGAAGGTATGCTAGCAGTGGCGTTGCTCTTGATTCCTTGGTAAGGGCTCTTCAGCACAGATGACAAGAAGGTCCTGTCTGTATTACATAATAAAGTGCAGTGGTGATAAGCAGTAGTCCGTCCAATCTTAGAAGCAGTTCCTGAGATTTTAAACTGCCCATCAAGTAAAAGGTCAAGTCTTTTAGTAGCCTGCACATCCAGCTGAGGCTGGACAGTTTTCAGAGCTCGCACAATTAATTTCAGATTTTTCATCCTATCATACTTGCTCTTAGTTGTAAAGAAAGTCAAATTGATGTTGCCCATGTCATGGTACACTGTCCCTCCTCCACTTTTTCTTCTAGCCAGCTTTATACCTTCTGCTCTCAGCAGATTTAGGTTACATTCTTGCCAAGGATTCTGATGTCTACCAATTACAACAGAGGGAGAATTTCTCCAAATGAAAAGAATTGGATTGCCTTCTAGATTCATATGGTCATGGATCCAATCTTCTACAGCCAGATTCTGGTAAACATCATTGGAAAGCGACTTCAAGATTAGCCCACTTTTTACTGTCTCTTTTAAGCCAGCTGCTGGGACCTTATGGTTGCAAAGTAACTGGAAACAAGTCTTCACTGAAGGAATCAGCATGCTTATTAAAAGGAAGATATAAAGGAATAATTATAAGGAAACAAATTCTATTTTCTAGTATTCAATTATCTTTAATTTAAACTTATCTAATTCTTTATGTATCCAACCCAGTTGACTTTCCCTGTCTTTTTGTCATAATCCTCTATAACAGAGAATGCATAGGAAATAAGTGATGACAAACTTTAAATACTTTCAAACAGAGTAAAGCAAAAATTTTTTGAAGCAATACTTCTGCTATAAAGGTATTATATCTAATATATCCAAGAGCCAAATTAGTTTGAATTCACAAATAATATATGTCCATTTAAAAAAAGGAGATAAGGAAAAACAGGCAAAAAAACCCCAACAGTTTTTTAGTTCAGTTACCTGAGATTATCACAGTGAGCATTTCCATGGGTCAAGATTCTTTTTCTGTGCATGCATCCACACACTTTTCCAACCAAAAGTAGGGTTACACTATTATCACTAGCTATATGTTTATATTATCTTTAAATGTTGTATATTTGATTTCCAGATAGACAAAACCATGGTTTAGTTTGTAATCTTAGATTGCTTTTTACTCTTCTTAAAAAAACGTTCTTGAGAGATATAAATGGTTAAGTACTCAACTCTCTCACAAGTAGGAACTGACTCATAGCAGACCTGCCGTCAGATTTTTTTGGAGGCTGTAAATTGCACTGGAGGAGCATGTCATCCTCCTCCAAGCATTGATGGTAGATTGGAACTTCCAGAGAGGTGATGCCTTTGGGTTCGTAGTGCAAGTCCCTACAGACTATGCCAGCAGAACTCCCTCAAGTATTCAACTTCTAGTTAGAAGGTTACTGGTCTAAACCCATCCAGAGGCAACTCAAAAAACAGGCCTGGTGATGGGCTAAAAGGTTACAACTTTGGTAATACTTTTGGAGTAGTGCTACCCTTCACACATGGGGTCAGCAGCAACTGGAACTGATTCCATGACAACTAACAAGAACAATAATATACATTATTTTAAATCCCTATTTGACTTGGAGATACATGGTTTATTGGAAACATAACTTTTATTTAGATCACTACTAAATTAGGATGAAGTTCCTGAGATCAGAGGGCAAAGTATCAGAATATAGAGGGCAATATGGAAAGCTATGAACAACTTTATCTGGGCACTTCAGAATTCCGGTTGACAGAGCAGGTAACCTATTAGGTGTAAAAAGCTGAAAATAGTAGATATAATAATGATGGATTTTTACTAGCTTCGGTCTTACAAACCTTCTATTTATTCAAGGTGTCATAATTTTCCTTTTGGTTAAAGAATTGGGATAGAACAGGGGTTTAAGTCCATGTTGTATTGTTGTGCCATCAAGATGACTAAAACTCAGAGCTACCCTATGAATAACAGATCTGAACCTTGTCCTACTGTGCACCATCCTCGCGATCTCGGTCATGCTCAAGCTCATTGTAGTAGTCACCACATCACTCCATCTGACTGAGCGCTTCCTTTTTTTCACTGACCTTTCCAGGTGTCATGTCTCTCAAAGGGCTGGTTCCTCCTGAAAATATGCCCAAAGTTAGTGCAATGAAGTTTCACCATCCTTGCCTCTAAGGTACACTCTGGTTGCATTTCCTTCAAGACAGTTCTTTGGCAGTCCATTCAATACTCTTCAACACCACCACAATTCAAAGGTATCCATTCCTCTTTTGTTCTTTCTTTTCATTGTTCAACTTTCACATGCACAGGAAGCAACTGGAAAATAAAAAGGCTTGGATCTCAGGCTTAGTCTTTAATCTGACATCACTGTTCTTTAGAACTTTGGTGAGGTCCTTAACAATAGATTTCTCAAATGAAACAAATCTTTAAATTTCTTGACTGCTGTTACCCTGGGTGCTGATTGAAGATCCAAGTAAAAGAAAATCACTGGCAGCTTCACTCTTTTCTCTATTTATCAGTATGTTGCTTATTGGTCTGGGGGTGAGGATTATTTTCTTGATGTTGAAAAGTAATCCATATTATGTGTAATATTATGATCCACATCTGCAGTCTTAGATCTTCTGCATTAAGTACTTCCAGTCCTCTTTACTTTTCACACACAAGTCAACCGTGTTATACAACCCAAAGTTCAACAACTTGTGTTTAATCTTTAATTCTGAAGCCATTCTTCAGAGTTCAGCTTCTTTTTCCTCTTTTTGTTTTCACAGTATTTTCACAGAAAATTTAAAATGTTGAGGCCAAGTATCTCTATCTTACTACGAAATTTTAAGCTAGAGATGCTTTAAGCTGGGGGAAAGACAATAAAACACTTCAGTTATATTTTAACAGTGCCTGCATAGAGGCCAACTTCTTGAATGATCTGCTCAGCATACAGACTGAATAGTTACGGAGAAAGGATACAATCCTGCCACACACCTTTCCTGATTTTAAAACATATGGTGTTCCCTTGTTATGTGTGGGCAATTGCTTCTTAGTCTTGAAGTGTAGGCTCCCCATAGGAAGGATTCAGTGTTCTGGAGTTACCATTCTTCTCAATGTTAGCCATAATTTGTTATGATCTACACAAAGAGCTATTCATAATCAATAAAGCAAAAGTAAATATTTTCTGGAATTCTCTTTCAGCCAAGATCCACCTGACAACACTCATGCCATGGCCTCTTCTGAATCCAGTTTGAATTTCTGGAAGTTCCATGCCAATGTACTATTACAGCCATTTAAAAATAATCTTCAGCAAGATTTTACTTACATGTGAGATTAATGATAATGCTCAGTAACTTCCACAATCTGGTGATTTCCCAATTTTTTGGCAGAGATTGGTGAGCACATCCAGTGTTGCATCTGTTTCCTGAAACACTTCAATTGGCAGTCCATCAATTCCTGGGGCTTTCGTTTTTGCCAATGCCTTCAGTGCTACTTAGACTTCTTCAGTACTATTAGTTCTTGATCACATGTTAATTCCTCAAATGATTCAGTGCTGACTAATTTAGTACAGTGATTCTATGTATCCTTTCCATCTTCTTTTGATGTTTCCTGCATCATTCAAGATTTTGTCCATAGAATCCTTCATTGTTACAACTCAAGCCTTAACAGTCCTTTCATCTTGAGAAGTGCCAAGCATATTCTTCGCTTTTCGTTTTCTAATTTTAGCTCTTTGCACATTTCATTATAATACCCTGCTTTGTCTTCTCAAGCTGCCCTTTGAAATCTATTCCGCTCTCTTACCTCAGCATTCTTTCCCCTTCTTTTAGCTTCCTTTTGTTCCAATGGAAGTTTCAGAGTTTCTTCTGATATCCATTTTGGCCTTTTTTCCTTGTCTTTGTAATGATCTTTTGCTTTCTTCACAGATGATGTCATCCCACAACTCATTTGGGTTTTGATAATTAGTGTTAAATGCTCAAATATTTCCTTAAGATGCTTTTTCGATTTAGATGGGATATAATCAAAGGTCATAGTTTGGTTCTCATGGACTTGTTTCAATTTTATTCAATTTCAATTGAACTTGCATGAGTAGTTGACGGGTCTATACCACAATTAGCACCTGGCCTAGTTCTGAAGATATGAAGGTTCTCCAACATCTCTTTTCACTGATGTAGTCAATTTGATTCCTGTGTAGTCCAACAGGTTAAGTCCGTATGTAGAATAACCATTTATGTTGGGTTGTTTTTTTTTAAATAGTATTTCCATTGAATAAATCAGATTGTACAAAATTCTATCAAGCCATCTCCAGTCTTATTTTTGTCACCAAAGTCATGTTTTCTAATTTCCACTCCTTCTTTTTTTCCAACTTTTGCATTCCAGTCACTGCAAAAGTTGGTAGGAATCCTCACTTTTGTCATCTCTGGCATTTGTAGTTGGTTTACATATTTGAATAATAATTGTATTAACAGGACTTCCTTATATGCATATGGATAGCATCCTATCACTCTGAGCATTGTACTTCATGCTAGTTCTTGAAATTATAAGATGAAAGCCATACAATTCCTCTTCAGTTTGTCATTTCTCACATAGTAGACCATATGACTGAAACCTGTCCACCATGGATGACCCTGATGGTATTTTAAATACCGGTGGCAAAGCTTCCAGCAGCACAGCAACATGCAAGCCAATACAATACAGCAAACTGACAGACAGGGGCAACTCAAGTCCATAACTATCTCAAAATCTTACAAAATGAATTTTCCAAAAGTGCATACTAGCTTAAAGAGTCTTTGTCACTCTTTTGTGTGTGTGTGTGTGTGTGTGTGTGTGTGTACCATCAAATCAGATCTGACTGGTATAGGAGATGTTCCCTCCTTCTCCAGCAGAGAATCTGGTGGATTCAAACTGTACACCTCTAGGATTACAATGCAGTTTCTTGACACTAGGCCACCAGAGCTCACCATTGTCACTCTTGATGGATTTCAATAAATTCTATTATAGAAAAGTTGAACCAATTTACACTTCCATTTGGGAATGAGACTCCAACGGGAGTCTCCATGGTAGAAGGCTGCTTATCTTTCTCCTTCTGAGTAGCTAGTGGATTCAAACCACCAGAGAGCTGTGTGGCCTCGAAGTTACTTCCTAAGGATTATATCACCACAGCTCCCTTTACCAGGTGTATAGGAGTAGCACATTCCAGGTTTCTGAAAAACAGAGAGTTGCCTAATCTAATAGGAAAGCATGTCCTAGGGACGCAAATTAGTTGCACTGAAACCTATCATTTCACTATAGTGGGTGGCCTCTGGAGCCACACTGCATTTCTTTGGTTCTTGGTTTGGTCTGATTAGCTCTTATTTACTCTCTTACCCAAACAACAAGTAACTACTAAGTGGATGACAGAAGAATTATGGCCTTTGAGTTCTGATGCTGGAGAAGAGTACTGAATCATGGACTGCCAAAAGAACAAACAGATTTATCTTAGGAAAAGGGCAGCCAGAGTGTTTCTTGGAGGCAAGGATGGAAAAGCTTCATCTCTCATCCTATGGACATGCTATTAAAAACAGCTATTCCTTGGAAGCAGACATCATTCTTGGGAGGGTGGAGAAGGGTCTGCAAAAAAG